TCAGCAAACCAGAAAAACTGCATGCATGCATGGCACATAAAAAATTAAATATACTGATCCAAGTAATTAATAATTATAGCGCTGATGAATTACATAGATATATACTTATCTCCTTCCCAAAAAGATTTTTCAAATTGACTTTTCTTGGTTAATGATGGCAAACTTTGATCAATGATTTTAGTTATTATATTTTTATATAATTTATATATTTTATACTTTTATGAAAAATATTTTCAATAATAAGGAATATTTTGATAGAGGGAAAGTCATATTCTAAATAATTTCATATTAAAATATATCATTGGTCAAAGTTGATTATCATTAATCAAGAAAAGTCAACTTATCAAACCTTTTCGAAATTCAGGAGAGATAGAGGTCACCGACCTGGCGTGCATGTTTTAGGAGCTCAAGAGAGTAGGAATGGTCATAGTTTTGGAACTCAAGTGAAGCGGAAGCAAGGGCCGCCACAGTTTCGTCGGCAAGGTCTGACCCGGGCTGGTTGGCATTAATCTGGTACGCGGTCCTGGGGGTTGTCATAAACTCTGGAACCTCCCAACAATAGTGATCCATATTTGCTTCTGCCACCTACATACGTACTTCGGTTCATTATGCCGCAACACAAGAGACATATATCTCATTCTCTTTCACGACAACATTAGACTTTTTGCACCTGTTTGTGTAAACTATTTTGATTTTATTTTATTTATTAATGTCTTATAAACTAAATTTTTAAAAAATATAGTTAAATTCTTCTCATTTTAATTTTTCACGGCAAGCTTCTGTGTTGAACACGGAGCCATGCAGTGGGTGCCCATGCAGTGGGTGCCCATGCAGTTTGATCTCATCCCATGAAGTTCGGCCATGTTAGTTTGCGTTAGTATTTATCACATTTAGAATAGTTGTATAGATTATTTATTTTTGGTCTTATCACTTCCTAGTCGCAAATTATACCATGAGATTGGTCCACCATGCGCATAGTGAGCCGAACTCAAAACGGTACAGTTTTATATTAAAAAAATCTTCGCACTTCATCTCTTTCCCTATTTCATCTCTATCCCTCGCATGAATCATTCCTTTCTCATGGAAATCCACCATACTCCAGCTCTCAGGACCAGAAGCTCCGTCGTCGCCCCACTGCACACGCTATCGCACAAGGAAAGGAGTGTTTCCATAAATCTTCTCCTCCACCTTAGCTTTGGTGCAATCGTCTGCCCTAAAATTGGTTGCACCGATGCAGCAATTAGGCGTTTTGAAGTAGATTGTCTGACTTTCTGATGTTGCACCGATGTCTGATTCACAAAGAAAACATCCAGATGTTGGATTCAGCGGCTATGCATGGTTTCTGACTTTCGGAATGTTGCAGACTTGCCTTCTTGATATTTTTCTTCAATATTTGAATGTTATGGTACTGAGAAGAGCAATAAACCTAAACAATTTAGATGTGGAGTGCGTACATGTGGGTATTTTTTTTGACAATTTACATTTTGATTCGGCTCAAGTAACATTCATTTTGCGCGAGTTACACCATTCATGTGCCGAGTTATATTTGTACTTTGTCTCAGCAAGTTAATTACATTTGATATTATATGAAGTTATATATTACTATGTATGAGTTACATCTTCTTACGCCTGAGTTACATCTTTTTATGCGCGAGTTACATTTGGGTTTGCCTTAACAAGTTACATTTTGCATACACCTAAGTTAGATTTTTTATCAATGTGAGTTACATTTTCCATAACACGAGTCACATCACAAAATAAACCCCTTCTACTGAAACAAAAAAAAAAACTTTTTAAAATCAATTTCTTTGGTAAAAAAATGATTTTGGGGGGAAAATTGATTTCTTTAAAACCTTTTATGGTCTTAATATTAAAAACAAAACATATTCATCATTTAGGTAAAGTTATTTAGCAATTAGATTTCCTTTTTTATTATTTACTTTGAAATCAATGTTTAAGACAAGTTACATTTCGATTTGCTTTCATTGACATTTGTCATTAACGTGCGTTACATTTCTTTACACGCGAGTTACATCATTCATGTTACTAGAACAAAAAAAATAGTTACTGTACACGCGTGTACTGTTCACGTGTGTACTGTTTACGCGGTTTTTAAAAAAAAAATTGAGCAAAACTACGTCATTTTGGGAGTGGAGCATGGTGCTCACCGTGGGATGATCCCACGGTATACGAACTGCTTCCTAGTAGATAGCCGATAGTGCTAAATGTAATTGTTTATAGGAAAGTTTCCAAAATAGGACTAAAAAGTTTGAAAATTCCGAAATATGACTGTCATGTTTTTTATTCCCAAAATAGGAATAACTACTATCATGTTTAGAAAATACTGCCATGTTTGAAGTCTGGTACTACCAAAACATGGCAGTAATTAATCCTATTTTGGGAATAAAAACATGGCAGACACATTTTGAAATTTTCAAACTGTTTTGGTCTAAACGAACCAGATCGAGTCGAATAGTATGATATGTGTATTCGTATTTGTTTAATTTTTTCGAATACCAATCCCAATTCAAATATTAAAAATTCACTTGTTAGAGCAGGTAATATGTGGTCATGGACTATTATTGGCGGACGGTCCATATAATTGGGATTATACAAAAATAATCAATAGTTAAGATTATTGTTAGCGGACCAGCAATAGTTAGGATTATTATTTTCAATTTTTTCAATAATTTAATGCATGAAATGATGAAACCGAAAAAGTGTAATTGAGATCTCAAATCCAGGACGGAGTAACGGAATAACGTTACGGAAGTTTTCCGTCAAAAAGTAATTTCGGTGCCGTGCTGCATTTGAGCTATCCGTTACTAGCTAACCTCAAAAGTCAATTTGTAAAAGAAAAAATATGGGGAATGCCGGTCCGACTAATTCATTAGAAGAAAGCTAAGGGGTCAAAATGTCAAATGCATTGGATCTATTCGGCCCACTTGTTGAATTCCAAACGTTTCCATCAAAACCAATTTTGTATATAATAAAATAAAAAGGATAAATCAAAAATAATAATCGCAATTATCGTCGGTCCACTATTAATAATCTCAACTATCGATTATTCTTGGATGATCCTAATTATAGCGACTATTTCTAAAAATAGTCGCTAATTGGCTATAACCTAGTATAGCAAGTCAAATTTAAATCCGAGAAAAATTCCAACTATGTGAATTATGCGTAAGCTGTCAATAATCACAACTATAGTCGAGCTTCTTTTATTAATCTCAATTATCAACTCTCAATTTTTGGAAAATATAGAAATATTTTTACGAATCTCCAAACTAAATATTTTTAAACGTGTAAAAATAATTATGAAAATTCGTCAAATGTACCGAAGTTAATTACAATATTTTTTAGTCAATTATTTCATTTATTTTCACTAAAATTTCATTTTTTATTATTCAATTTTATATTATTCACCTTTATTCAATTTTACAGTTTCTGTTTTCAAAAAGTAAATTGTGACTAAAAATTTTAGGATTTAAATCTTTATTCTACATTTTTAATTAAAATATTTTTTATTTAATTTTATGTTATCTTAATTCAAAAAAATCTAAATTCTCTATGTTTTTCATTTTAGTATTTTTAACTTTATTTATTTTATATTCCATAATTTACATGATATAATTTATCGTTTAATTTTAGTGATTTGTGGCATAAATTTTGGCTATTTTTAATAAAAATGTATTAATAGTATTATTTTAAGTGATATAATGGAAATTGTAAAAATGTAGAAAAAGTGTATCACAATAGTAATAATAATCCCAACTATTTTGGTAGAGAATTTGAAAAGTGTGAACTTTTTGTAAACATATTGAAACTTAATGTAGTTTTAATTTGGATATTGAAACTTTATAAAGATATTAATGTAGTTTTTAAATATATAAATTATAATTATTAAAATTAAAATAATTATCAATAGAAAGGACTAAACTCTAACATTGTTGACAAAAAATGTTGACTTTTTACAAGAATTTGGGGTGGAAGTAGTAGTATCAATACCTTTTCATTATAAATAGCCAAAACCTTCAAACCTTATACCTCAATCAAAAACATCTGCTACATGTTTTCAAAGTCCTTAGCAATAACATCTTTCCTATAAAGTTAGGCGAGCGATAACAAGTTTGGTCAAAAATATTCAACTTTTACAGACAACCGATGTCTGGTACAGAGAATAAATGTGGGAACAGACATAAATGTTCCAACATGGTAAAGAATTTGTATATTTTTTGTACGCGTTTTCAAAAACTTTCATATTGACAACTTTGTTATACAAGTGAGGAACAGACGAAAAAAAAATCGGTGTGAAAAATCAACATTTGAAAAAAATGTTAATGGAAATTTATCAATTTAAGACCTGAAAGTTGAGTTTACTATCAATTTTGGACCTAAAAGATATTTGCTCTCATTAAGGGACCTAAAAGATGGTAATCTATCACTACAAGACCTAATGAATTAACACCGTTAATTTCTTTTTAACGTAACCTGACATTAGGTCTCGTTAGTAGTATTAACGGTGTTAATTCTACAAGGTCAGATTCCGTTAAAAAGAAATTAACGGTGTTAATTCATTAGGTCTTGTAGTGATTGATTACACTCTTCTATGTCCCTTAATGAGAGCAAATATCTTTTAGGTCCAAAATTGATAGTAAACTCAACTTTCAGGTCTTAAATTGACAAAAAAATGTTAATAAGAAATTTTTGAAAATGTGAATAAAAAAGTATACATTTTTAAACCAAGCTAAATCTTTTTCCTATGCACCTATGATTGTCTATATGAATTTTATGACTGGCATTTTTTATTTACGACCTAACTTTAGAGAAAAGAAAGTTTAAGTGTGACAGATTTTGAATTGAAATGTGTATCAGTTTTTTACTGCGTATGAAGTTACAATCTTAATCGTGCAAAATTTAACAGTATTAATTCATTGTAGTATTTACTAACGAGTACATTTCAATATGAGCAATAACTAAAAGACTAAAGTGTAATTTTTTTTCAAAAGTAAAATAAATCTTTAGTAACAATTCACATATTTACTTTTTAAGAATAAGTATATTTATGAGTCAGAGATGATAGTTTATTGAAATAATTAAAAAAGAATTGTCAAAAACATTGTTTGGGAGTAGACAATAAATAAAAAGGGAAAACTGTCAAATAGGTCCTCGAACTTTCATAAAAAGGTCAATTAAGTCCTTCTATAGGAGGTTCTGTCCGGCCGTCACGATTTGAGGCAGTTCCCGGTGGAATTTTTTGATGAAATTTTTTGAGCATCTTATTCACCAAGTCTAGTTTACTCATACCAAATTTCAGCTAAAAATTCAATCGGGAACACATTCAAATTAATTCTTGAAGATAACTGCGCATTTTTACGTTCTCGAATTAATTTGAATGCGCTCCTGATTAAATTTTTAGCTGAAATTTGGTATGAGTAAACTAGACTTGGTGAATAAGACGCTCAAAAAATTTGAATGCGCTCCTGAAATTTGGTATGAGTAAACTAAACTTTCATTTGAAGTCCATCACTCACATTTTACAGAATACAGGAGATGGTTATTTGTTGTTTTGTGAAGGCAAGGAGCAGAATTCCCCAGTCCAGTCTTGAAGAAGGATGAAACTTGGCACAAGGTAGTTGGTGAGTTTCCTGAAGTCTTCAAATCGGTGTTGGATCTTCCCCGAGAAAGGCCATGTGATCATGCGATAAACGTCATAGAAGGAGCCAATATACCTAATCTGAGGCCATACAGGTATGCCTATGATCAGAAAAATGAAATTGAAAAGATTATACAAGAAATGCTTTCTTCTGGGATAATTAAACACAGTAACAGCCCTTACAGTAGCCCCATACTTTTAGCCAAGAAAAAAGATAGGGGGTGGAGATTTTGTGGTGATTATCAGGCATTAAATAAGGTGACTATCCCAGATAAATTTCCTATACCAGTTATAGAAGAACTTTTAGATGAGTTAGGAGGAGCTAAAGTGTTCTCAAAACTGAATTTGAAATCTGGATATCATCAAATAAGAATGAAGATAGCTGATGCTCATAAAACTGCCTTTAGAACGCACGAGGGGCATTATGAATATATTGTGATGCCTTTTGGGCTAACAAATGCTCCCTCAACCTTCCAAGCTTTGATGAATGAAGTTCTTAGACCTTTCTTAAGAAAGTTTGCTCTAGTTTTCTTTGATGACATTTTGGTTTATAGTAAATCAAAAGAGGATCATATAGAGCATCTAAGAAAAGTGTTGACAACCTTGCAAGAAAATAAATTGGTAGCCAATCGGAAGAAATGTTCATTTGGTCAGAATCAGTTGTCATATTTGGGTCATATAATTTCTGGAGAAGGAGTATCTGCTGACCCAAGTAAGATAGAGGCTATGGTAAGCTGGACAGAACCTCAAGATATCAAAGGGCTGAGAGGATTTCTGGGTTTGACTGGTTATTATAGAAGGTTTGTAAAGGGGTATAGCAGAATTGCAGCTCCTTTAACCAATCTGTTGAAGAAGGATAGTTACAAGTGGGACACTGAGGCTAGCAAGGCTTTTATCCAGTTAAAAGAAGCTATGACTACCTAACCTGTTCTTGCCACTCCAGACTTTAATAAGAAGTTCAACATTGAAACAGATGCTTCTGGAAAAGGGTTAGGTGTTGTACTCATGCAGGATGGAAGACCCATTGCATTTATGAGTAAGGAACTCTCTCCTAAGCATCAAAGTAAGTCTGTGTAAGTGTGTATGAAAAAGAACTCATGGTTGTGGTTCTGGCTGTTCAAAAATGGAGACCTTACCTACTTGGGAGAACATTTGAGGTCCATTCAGATCAGAGAAGCCTGAAATACCTGACTGAGCAAAAGATTATGGGGACTGAGCAACAAAAATGGATCACTAAACCCCTGGGTTACAATTTTTCCATCAAATACAAACCGGGCATAGAAAATAAAGCAGCTGATGCTTTATCTAGAAAGCCTGCTTTATTATCCTTATCTGTAGTTTCATGTCAGGAGTGGGTTGGATTGGAAGAAGAACTACATGAGGATTCAAGGTGTAAGGACATTCTGCAGAAGCTTTCAACTCAACCAGATTTAATGAAGGATTACCAGATCAAAGGAGGAATACTATTTTACAAGGGGAAGTTGGTATTACCTAGAGGATCTAGCAGAATACCTAGAATCCTCAAGGAATACCATGAAACTGCTATGGGAGGACATTCTTGATATTTCAGAACTATGAAGAGGATCTCAAATTTATTCTACTGGGCTGGAATGAGAGTTGACATAAAAGATTATGTTCAGGGGTGTGAAACCTGCCAAAGGAACAAATATCAAACATTGAAACCTGCAGGTTTGCTTCAGCCACTACCCATCCCAAATCATATTTGGACTGATATTAGCATGGATTTTATTGGAGGGTTGCCTAAGTCAATGGGAAAGGATACCATTTTGGTTGTTGTGGATAGGATGACCAAATTTGCACATTTTTTGCCTTTGGCTCATCCTTATAATGCAAAAGGGGTTTCTGAAATTTTTATACAGGAGGTGGTAAAGATACATGGGTTCCCTAAATCCATTGTGAGTGACCGGGATAGTCTATTTTTGAGCACATTTTGGTCTGAACTGTTTAAATCAGCTGGCACTACATTGAAGTACAGCACTGCCTACCACCCTCAAAGTGATGGGCAGACTGAGGTGGTGAATAAGTGCTTAGAGACATATTTGAGGTGCATGAATGGCAGAAAACCAAGACAGTGGGTGAAGTGGTTGGCTGGTTGCCTTGGGCAGAATTCTGGTATAACACTAACTATCACATATCCCTGAAACACACACCCTATCAAGCTCTATTTGGTCACGAACCTCCCATAATAGTCAGAGGTGATGTTAGTTTAATGTCAGTGGCTGAGGTATCTAGGCTAACTGCAGAACGGAATGTTATCTTGAAGGAGTTGAGGGATCAGTTAGCCAAAGCACAAAACCAAATGAAGCAACAGGCAGATAAGGGCAGAAGAGAATTGAATCTAGAAGTGGGGGACAAAGTCTTTTTGAAGATACAGCCAAATAAAATGAAGAGTCTGGCCAACAAGATTAATCAGAAATTGAGCCCAAGATTCTATGGTCCATATGAGATCATAGAGAAGATAAATGTTGTAGCCTTCAAATTAAAACTGCCAGTGGAAAGTCAGATTCACTCGGTTTTTCATATATCCTTACTGAAAAAAGTGATACATCCTACAGCTACCTATCAAGATCTGCCCAAGTGCTTAACTGAAGAAGGAGAGTTGGTGGTGGAGCCTGAGATTGTGAAGGAAGCCAGAGTTAGTCAGAATGGGGAAAAGGAAGTCTTGGTACATTGGAAAGGTCTTCTATAATTTGAGGATTCTTGGAAAAAAGAGCAGGTGATCAGAGAGCAGTTCCCTACTTTCCAACTTCAGGACAAGTTGGGTTTTCAGAGGGGGAGTTATGTTAGAGACTCGATGCAGCCAAATAAAGATGACAAGTATTATGGAAGAGTCTATTCTAGAAGGAGGGAAAAGAAGAGTAGTTGTTAGTTAAATTCTGTTAATAACTAATAACTGTAGGCGGTTGTATGACTTACTATAAATAGAATAGACTGGGGAAAATAAATGCAGGTTGTTTAGACTTGTTAGTCTTGGTACTGGGAAGATTGAGACAGACTGTCTCTCTCTTTGGGGGGCTTCGGCCATTGTAGCTCTGTTTGATTTCAATAAAGCTTGTGAGTTCTTTTGATTTCTTCTGTGAATTTGCTGTGAATTCTGGTGACTCTAACAGAGAGGTGAATGAGAGCAAGAGAAATAAGGAATGAGAATAACATCGAATTCATTTGGCTCAAAACAAAACATTTCCCATGTGGAGGGAGACAAAGCTGATATCTCAAAGATCCTAAACCCTCCATATCATTGAACAATGACACCAACCAAGAGACTATAAAAGTATATTTATTTGTTAAAAAACCAAGAAACTAGTAGCCAGAACCCTAATTTTCACGAAAATCATAATTTTCAAGAAAATAGAAAGGCAACCATGAAAGCACATTTGATAACAAGTTAGGCCGTAACTCAGTGTGGTCTCCTCTCACAACTATGTTAATCTTTACGTTTTTATTCTTAGGGCAGAGTGCAAGCGCATATATATGAGTGTGTGTGTGTGTGTGTGTTTCTTCAATCGTCATACCATATTTACATTTCCTTATTTATTTTCCTTATAGGAGGGAAAAAGTCTTTTCAAAACATGTGTGCTCTCCTTCGTCAGACTGGAAAAATCTTTTATTGTACTCAACCTCTATTTAAAAACTGGGTAAAAGTTTTTTCCTTCAATACTGGATGTAATTAGTATTTTAGAGATCAAATATTGGTCAAAATAAATCAGCGATCCTAAAGAAGAAAACTACAGCTAGCCCATAAGGAGTGTACTATATCAATGACAGATATGCAATACACTTCTAAAATTCACATTCGACGAAATGAAATACATTTATCACTTATCATGATTCTATAATCTTTCATTTCCAACAAAATCATCAAAAGAATTTCTAAGTAGATTGTTTTTTTGCATTGTATAAAATTAAAATTCATACCTGACACCAATACCACAAGGAGTAAGTAGGACAAGAAGGCGAAGAAGAAATCTGCACAACACATGATTAGAGAAGGGGCAAGATGAGTTGTGGTTTGTGAGCTATGATCATATTTTGCTCTCAAAGAGGCCAGGAGAGAAGAAGGATATTGGGAGCGGTTGTGGGGATGTTTTTTTAGAGAGAGCTGCAGCGATAGTTTAGGCATCGCAACTTTCTTATCCAATCGGCTGAATTGGAACACTGGGTCACCAAGTCTTTTGATTCAGCCCTTTTTTTACTTCAGTTCAGTTTAGCCTTTTATCGAATCATGGCTTATTTTATGACTATTGACTGAATTTCAGAAATTCCAGCCATTATGAGCTGAAGGGAGCATGCCAAACATAGCCTAAATGTAAGAGATTCTTTACTGAATCCCATCATGTGTGCTTCAAAAGGAATCATCCATTAACCAATAAACCAGAAAGATATGATCCAAATGAGCATAACCTGCAATACCATTGACACAATTTTTGAATATGTTAGCTTATTATATACACGTATGCGGGGTTAAATGAATTTTAAATTCATCTATTGAGGAACAGGACTGCGATCAAAACGATTCCAGATGCACATCACTTAATCATTTCTAAGAAAATTCAGCAACTACTCCTCGACCCGTTTTTTTGCCATAAAAGTGAAAGTTGATAAGAGCCTCTAAGGAACATACTTACTCAGTGAAAATATAACAGGAATGTAAATCATCATGTAAAATTAATGGACAGTCCAGAACTTTTACCCTTAAGAAATATTGAAGACAAAAAAATCACTTTAGTACGAGTGTCTAAGAAAGCAGCTTTATATATGTGAAAAATAAGATTATTTTCACTGATATCGAATTCTATACAAGTAGCTATATTTATAGCTACATTAGCATATTAGGGTTCCTATATCTGGAGCCTGAGAAGTATAAGTGCATTGCCGATTTGCCATATGTAGTATACGCAGTTTGTCTCACTTTGTCTTTGCAATTGCATGCTATATCATTAAGTAAAAAACAGTTGTGATATTATATGTTGAAACCAAATGGTTATGGATGGAGAACTTACCATTACAATAAATGAAATCCAGTGTCTTTTCCCAAGGGTTAAATGATCACTTTCTGACTCTGAGATACCGTGTTCTTGATTAAAAAACCTCCTCGATCACCACAGGATGCGAGTCACCCGAAAAATATTCTTCATTCCTATAGCATGATAATTTCCATATCAACAATATACACTTGTGTAACGTTAACACCAATTGACAAAATGCATAACTCACACATAGCATATACTCTGGAAAGTGCGACTTGTTGACAGAGAAACATGTATACGATCTATAGACCTTAGTGGTCCACTTTTTTAAATGATAGCAAGTGAGAAGTAAAAGTCTGTTTTCGAGGTTATATAATGTAGTAACCATTGACATCATCAAAACTTGAAACATATCAAGGTGTACCAATATTCTACCCACCGATTAGAACAGAGAAAAATTAGTCACAGAAATTGCCTCCAAACAATCAATTGTAAGTGTTTGTTTGGTCAAAGTAGATAAGCCCTAGCGTAACTTGAGCAAAGAATAAAAGTAATCTTAGATAAACTAGCTAATAAAAGGATACCAAACAATAGGTCCACAATTGTTTAAAAGCACTAAATGTAAAACAAGATACATAAATGGTCAAAACTATATTGGGCAATGTCAAAGCTACAAATAATATCAGATGCCTTTTGAATGCTATGTTGCTTTTGCCGTGCCTTTGCAGTGTGACCAGGTTGACCCTTACTATGCCAATGCTTCCAACACTTTTAATGCTGTTAAGATGGATGTTGCATATCCACTGCCTCAACTTATGGAACTTTGGGCAGGCCTTTTTCTCAATCCTACTTCATTCATCATATGTCTCACATTCTCAGCATCTTTCCACCTTCCCAAAGCAGAATACATGTTTCCCAGCAACACATAATTTCCAGTGTTGTGTGGCTCTAACTCAAAAAGCCACTTCGCAGCCACCTCTCCGAGCTCAACATTTTCATGTATAACACAGGCACCAAGTAATGCACCCCAAACAGCATGAGTCGGTCCGAAAGGCATGTTTTTTATCAAGTCATAAGCCTCCTCAAGCCGCCCGGCACGTCCAAAAAGATCAACCATACAAGTATAATGATAAGGCCTAAGATCATCAGGGTGATATCTCTTCATGTAATTGAATAAACTCAATCCATCATCAACTAACCCTCCATGGCTACAAGCATGCAAAACAGAAGTGAAAGTGACTTCATTCGGTTCAACTTGAGACTTAACCATCTGATTAAACAAAGAAACTGCAAGCTCTCCATGTCCATGCGCTCCATATCCAGCTATTATCACACTCCATAACACAATATCTCTTTCCTTCATAGGTACCTCATTGAAGATTTCATAACCGTAACCAAGCTTTCCACATTTCGAGTATATATCAACCAAACCAGTAGCAACCTCTTTTCTTGTAATAAAACCAGAGCGTAGAAGATAGCTATGTAAACTCATGGCCTGTTGCAAATCAGCTTCGATGGCATATGCGGGAAGTATGCTTTTCAGTGTTGCATTGTTAGGTTTCACATCTTCTGAAAGCATTTGTTTGAAAAGTAAAATTGCCTCTACTGAAAGGTCATTATGAAGACAACCACAGAGAACTGCATTCCAAGGGACAGTTCTCTTCTTCGGAGTGTTAATGAATACATTAAAGCTAAGCTTAAAACTGTTGCATTTTGCATACATATCAATAAGTGCAGTTTCTACATTAGCATCTGCGTCAAGTGTCTGCCTGATTGCCCAGCCGTGTATGCATTTACCAAGTTTAGTGTCACACAAAGTTGCACACGCAGCAAGAAATGAGGCCAGAGTTATTGCGTTTGGCTTTATGCCCTCCAACTGCATTTCAAGGCATACCTGCAATGCAGAGCTTATCTCACTGTTCAAAATGTACCCATTTACCATAGTAGTCCAGGTAACTACATCTCTACCTATCATTTTATCAAAAACTAAACGTGCTTCTTCCATACAACCGCATTTGACATACATATCTATAGTTGCATTTCTAACAGGTAATAGTTCCCAAAATCCTTTCTCTTCAGCCAATAAATGAACCTCTCTCCCCAACTTCACATCTTTCAGGTACCCACAAATAGGCAACAGGGAAAGCACAGTTGCACAATCTGGATCCACCCCAACTTCTGTCATTTTTCTGAAAACCTGCAAGGATTCCTTGGGACTGCCATTTCTGAAATACCCACCAATCATAATGTTCCAGGAAACCGTAGTTCGCTCCTGCATTGCATAAAAGACTCTGCTTGCTCCTTCTTTATCTCCACATTTCATATACATCACCAACAATGAATTCCCCAAAAATGCATTTAAGACAACCCCTGTCAATACTGTCAGACCATGAACAACGACCCCGATTTCACGCAATAATAAATCACCACAGGCACGAATTACAAACGGAAATGTATACCTATCTGGCATTTGCTGACTGGAGTGGAGCATTTCATCAAATAACTTGAGAGCATCATGGGGAGCCCCGGTTTCTGTGTACATTTTTATCATGCTCTTGTAGGAAAGCAAAGTTCTAAAAGACAATTCATCGAACACCTTGCGAGCAAGTGAAGTTTGGGAGCAGAGCGCGTAGGAAGCTGTGAGGAGGGAAAGGAAATGAGTGGAGTCGCAATGGTGTAAGAGTTGAATCCTGAGAATGTGAGCATGCACTTGCTTAGTGGTGCTTAATGACTTGGTGGTAGAGCAACGGTACAAGAGTGCTTCATAATGTGCAATGGTGCAGGGGGGCGAGGGGGGAAGAAGGTGTTTCAAGGTTCTGGACAGTGGCTGAGATGGCCCATTCATGAATCAAGCCCGTCCACTGTCCTGAAAGAGGTTGCCACTCACCCCAATCAATATCTAGTCTTTTGCACTGTATTATTTTCCAGTTCAAAAATAACTCGAGTATATGACTCGAGGAGCTTCAAGCTAGCAGGCACTTCCTCAGAGTTCACATGGTTAAGCATCCTAACAGAATCTTTCAAAAGCCTCTGCTGCAATGAAACTGAGACACACTTACATAACAATCTTTCTTAACCTATTATTTTCTATTGTAGTGAATAGAATTATGAAATCATTACAAAAAATTAACTTCACTAAAACAATGCATCTTTTCTTCTACTTTGATAAGAAACTTTCTCATCTTCTAGTGTACATCAACTTTTATTATGTTTCTGGTTTGAAGTTGGCATCTAAGTTGTGTGTATGAATGAATGCATGACATATTGACTCCTTAGTACAGGTACCACAAAATATTGCTCTTATTTTAAGACATAATATCCGAAATTATGTAAAGTTTCACAGTTACTTTGTAGGTATTCTTCTACACAGTTGGATGAACTATAAAGGGATTTCTTCTTCGGGTTCTATTTGCCTACTTTGTTCCGATTCTCTAATTGAAGTTTTTTTTAATTTCCATAACATTGAAATCTAACCTTAAAAAGTAATTGAGATGAAAAGTAAAAATAACAAATGCACGAAGCATGGAGAGTCGAGAGAGAAGAACCCCTACAATGCGGCGGCCGATGTTGACAGAGGGCAGAGCCTCTGACGGCCTAGCAGATTAATCGGGTTGACTGGGCGACCAAGCAGCGGAGAAGCAGGTCCGCTGCGGTGTCTGAGCTTCGCTGAAGTCGGGTAGTTCGCTCAGATTTTCACTGTTTCAATTCATTGCTTCCTTTTTTTGTGGCCAAGTCGGGTAGTTCGCTCAGATTTTCACTGTTTCAATTCGCCGAAGTCGGACCATACGATTCTAAACAATATCATGACCCTCCTAAAATGAGAAACCGGTATCTGACCGATGTATGGTTTAATTATTTAAACCATTACTAAGATTTAATTATTTAAATTTACATTTATACCATTACTTTGACTAGTGCTTTCACACTTTCATCGTCTTTGCTAGTTCATAGAAAGTCTAGAATCAGACCGATGTATGGTTTAATTATTTAAATTTGTACTACTATAGTTTATCTGAAATTTATTAATTATGTAATACTACCTCTGTCGCAAATTGATTTGCAAAATTAACTTTTCTTGGTCAAACAGTTTCATTTTATTCACTTAATTAGAATGTCAATTTTTAATTATATTTAATTTGGAGCTTACAACTTTGAAGATATTTTAATGTATGTAGTTTTTGAATATGTAAATTTTAATTGTTAACATTTGAATTAATCATCAATAAAGAGATTTTAACTTTAACGTTGGTTGATAAAAAAATATTGATTTTTCATGTCAATTTGGGATGGATGGAGTATGAAAATTGATAAATTGTGTGCATATTTTGGAGGATGGCTAAACTTTAATTTCCTCTTAAAAACTTGGAAAAAATTGCATTGTTTGGTATTGGTGTGGCATGGTACCATCCCACTTGAAAATGGAACCGTACCGAATAGGTTTAGGTCTAAAACCGAACCAAACTGTTTGAATAGTCACAGTACGGGTACGGGTACGGTCAAATATTAGACCGGACCGCGCTCACCCCTAGTTTTTTTGTTCTCTAGTTGGTGATTGGTGATAGAGTTAGCGCGGCATGTTTGCTTTGCCAAGTGTTTGTGCGCGTCGTGTGAGCTTTTGTATAATTGTTAACTCATTTTAATCATAATATTTCAAAGTATAATTTTGATCCTATTAAAATATATGGAGTATACTCATATTTTTTATTTGTATTGTACATTTATAATGTAATTTGGCATGATTTTCATTCTTAAATAAATACTCCCTCTGTCCCTTATAACTTTGTCATCTTTCCTTTTTTGGATGTCCCAAAAACTTTGTCACTTTCCCTTTTAATCAATGAATTTGTGGTTCCTGTCATTTCTCTCTCCTCTGCACATATCTCAACCACACAGTTTTTACTTTATTATTTCCCGTGCCGATCAAACATGGCAAAGTATTGAGGGACGGAGGGAGTATATAAATATATTACATATATTTTCTTCTAAAGGTATTGAATTGCAATAATGTTGGTTTAAAAAATGCATTAAAATTATAAAAGAAATTGCTTTTTTTAAAACACCCGAAACCAGGTTTTCTTGGGTTTGTTGGGTCCGGGTCATGACCGGGTTTCCTGGGACAACCGGTTTTTTCCAGATTTTTTAATATTTACGGGGTTTTAACTAATTGAACTGGATTTTTGTCTGGGTTGTCGGATTTCGGGTTGGTTTTGTAAACATAGGCTGAAGAATATTGCAAAGTTATCATTGTACAGGAGGAGAATAGGGGTTGGTTCCGGAAGCAGGACTGGTGGGGGTGACGGGGAGGTTGATGGGGGGATGTGCTTCTAGGCTGTGGGTTGTAACGGATAACCTATCAGGCCAATTTCTTTCAGTTAAAACAAGGTGATCATGGTATGTAGGGGGGACACATTGAAGAAAATTGATAGTCCAATATCAATCAACAATCATACAATATAATAGAAGGAGAGAATCACAGAATGATAGAAAAATATTTGAACGATGAACTCTCTCTTCCTTATATCGTATAAGCTCTCAGAAATATATGAGCGTTAATGTGCATGAGGCTTGTGAGACTTAGGGTTTGCTTAAGTTAGCATCCTTTTATACATAAGGATGTCTAACTTAAGGCTTACAAGTGGGCTAATGGGTTGAAATACATTTGTGGCCCATATTACACATTTAATTAATAATTACACAAATACAAAGATATTTAATTAGATTGGTCATCAGAAAATATTCCCAACAATCCCCCCCCCCTTGGTGTTCAATCGTGTTCAATCAGCATTGCAACGCAGATATCTTTGTCTTTGTTGTTATTCAGCTTCCTTTGTCTTTGAACTTGACTTCTTGAGAAGGTTTTATGAAGAAATCCTTGCAATCTCCCCTTTGATGTTTTCTTTTCAATTTGATCTTTGATGTCGGGAGTTGAGGAATCTTTTGCTTGTAATCCTTGCCTTACAGAAGCAGCTCTTGAACAGCTTGAATGAAGTTTGAAGGCGCCTTTAGAATGAATGCTCTGATAATTTTTCAGGCGTGCACGAGATTCATCTTCAGTACACGAGTATCTGACCTCTGTCTCCTCCACAATGTAGTCTCTTTGACTATGTGAGGTGAATGCTTTTGAGGAGTCCTTGTCAGTGGCACAGCGGAAAGAGATGGTTGACTTGTGAGCGTATGTCCATTTGAAGTGAAGCTGACTTGGTAGTCTTGATGATTTCAAAGAGTAGAGAGTCGTCGTTTTTTTTGTGTTGGAGGAGAAGTATCCGAGAATGATTTTTGTTGAGTGTTATCAGCATGCGGACCACTCTCCCCCTCATGACGATCCGATGAGTTGGGGCGTCATGTCTTTATTCTTTTATTCTGGGCAACAAAAAACAGAAAGAAAGGTTAAATGATAAAACCGGATACACTGAGGTGTTCCGCTATCACAACATCAATGTAAACACTGATGTGTAGCCTGTAAAAATGATAGAAGCATTAAAGCTCTAACAGGACTTCCAACCAGTCATTGTGAAGCATCTAAAGTAGATGTCACTCTGGTTGTAACGGCGTGATCATAAAGATCAGCAAAGATAACGTAGCCCCCCCGGGGTCATGTAGACACCCGTTATCATCACTATAGAGATAAACTCTGAAGTGATGGCCTGAACATGTTGGTGATTTCTATGTTGCAACAGCATGACTTCCTTCCAATCATTGGTCTTCATCTATAGTAGATGAGCCCTATGGAAGTTCTCGTGGGTCATAAAGACCTGTAACTGACTCTAAAAAGTGTTTGTGTCCTAGAAAATTCAAATCGTTTGGGAGTGAGATAACTAGACACGACGTGATCAATGAATATTCAGTGGCATGGGGTTGTGGGCCACCGTAGTCAATATCAGTCGCCTCAGAAGGAGACGGTGATAAGAGATGAGGTTCCCCGTGAGGTATGATTAAACACATGTCTATTGGAAGACACGTGAGTGGTCTAGGGTAGGGTTGTGCATGCGCCGGTTGGACAAAATGCAGCGACTTCTACCCGGGATCTGAATAAATTGAGTCCTGAACCTATGGGGATTGTCCAGAGTATTTGAGTGATTGGGAGTAATTTTTTTTAATTGATAGCACAATAGAGGTAGCAGATTTGACAGTGATTATTGTTCTCTTGCTCACTTGAGCTTTCTGCTTCCTCACTCTCACAGTGTTCACTCAGTTACTCACTCACTCTTGGCTTTGTCCATTGGGTAGGCTTAGTTGGGTTTACTAAGCCATTGGGACTTATCTCTCATTTCTCTTTGATCTTTTTTTTCTATGCTCCCCCTCAACCGGAGCATTCAGTAAGATGCATTCAACAATGTTTGGCGCATGGGAGGAGAACTTTGAAAACTCCCCCTCAAAATCTGCATCCTTGAGAGAATCCTTTCATGGTAAATTGTCTGGCACCAGGAGGAGAAAAATGAAACTACCCCTCAAACGTTGCAAGTTGTGTTGTTTGTTACTCAGGGAGTAAAGTAGAAAACTCTCCCTTGGAATGTGCTTTCTTCATTGTTTGGCACCAGGAGGAGTGAAAAAGAAACACCCCCCTCAGAATAAGCATTTGTTTGTTCTTGGCGTGTGCCGGTGTTGAAGTGTGCATTTCTTGATTTTCTGCTCAGTAGAGAATATACACGCCAGTACTTTCTCTCATAATGTGCACTAGTTGATTGCTCACAGCTCATCTTCTTACCCGCCATGTGTGTAGAGCAATCGTATCAGTTACCACACATGACGGACCTTCAACACATATTAAGTATGTTTCGGTACCCATTTCCAGATAGGTCCTTCCTTGGCAGCAGCGAACAACTCTTTCACTTTCTGTTTAATCTGGGATCCTAAGCTAGCTGACTGAGAGAAGTTTGACATTCTTAATTTTTCAGCTTCAGTCTTAGGAACCCATTTTTGTTTGAGCTTTTGAGCAGGAGAGGTTTAATTATCACTGAGTGAATGATTAGACAAGTAGTCTTTGAGAATTGGTTCTTTAGAGAGTCTTCTCAAATGTTTGAGTGAGTGAACCTTGAGGGGATATTTCAAACATGGTAGTGTATACTCTCCCTCAACATTCACCTTTGCGGAAGCGGATTTCTTTTGGACTCTCTGATCATTCACATTCTGATCTTGAGTGAAGGAGGCATCAGACTCGGAGCAGCATTGCATGAAAGACTTGATACAGTTCTGAGTAGAAGAGCTTGAGCAGTGATTCTTAGGAGATGTCTTCCTTTTGGCATATAAGAGAACACTTGAACCCCAGCTCCTATCCCTCAGACGAGATTCTTCTTCCTTCTTTCTTCTTCTTAACTTGTCCTCTATCCATTCTCCTCTCCTTTCCACTCTCCTCTTCATAGGGGCCCTTGTCGGTGAAGGTGGAGGAGAAGGAGCAGAAGTGGAAGTTTCAGGATCATTTGCAGATTTTTCAGAACAGTTCTCAGAAGACGGAGGAGAAGGAGATCACAGTTTTCAGATGATGGAGGAGAAGGAGATTGTGAGCCTGTGCTTGATTGAGAGGATGTTTGGAGCAAAGAAATTTCATTCAAGAGTTGTTCTCTTTCCAGTTCAAAAGCCTGTTTTTCTTTATCAAAAGCTTCTTTCAATTCAGCAAACTTTTTCACAAGGGGTGGAATGTATGCTGGTTTGGGTACAGGCTCTGAAGTTGAAGGTTCCTCTTGATCTTGCACGGTCTCTTTTACAAGGTAAAAGGTTGGAATCTCTTCAGGAAGAGTCAATGTGGGCTCTTTTGTTTCATAGCTCTCGTTCAAGGCAGCATAATCAAAAGGAATTTTTGTTCCGAGATTAGCTCTCTTG